GAGAGAGAGAGAGAGAGAGAGAGAGAAATTAGCTTTACAAGTTAGGTCGAGAGATTTCAGTCACTAAAAATTAAAAATATGATACTGGCTGAAGGGATTCAGCAGTGAAGAGCACTTGATGTTTAGTTCTCAGCATCCACATTAGGCAGCTGTTATTCCAGCTCCAAGAGATCAGACACCTCTGACTTCTTTGGGTACCTGCACTCATGTGTATGTATATACCTACACACAGACATACAGGTATAATTAAAAATAACTAAATAACTAACTAAATAAAATATTTTAAAAGGGAAATTTGGAGCTGGGGGGCATGTCTTTAATCCCAGCACTAGGGAGGCAGAGGCAGGAGGGTCTCTGAATTCAAGGTCAGTCTGGTCTACAGATTGTTCCAGGATAGCCAGGACTACACAGAGAAACCCTGTCTCAAAAAAGAAAAAAAAAGAAAGAAAAAAAAGGAAAGAGAAATTTGGAGACAGCAATCCATCTCTTGCTTTTCCCTCTTCTCACACATAATTGAAAAGATGAATAGCAAATGAGATCTTTAGGCAAACTTTAAGTAAAATTATTAGTACTTACCATTATAGAACTCCATGTTGCTGTTAACTTTCTTAACTTCTTCTTGAATTGCTGTAGTTATAGTACTTTCATTTACAATTGTACTTTCATTAAACATATTTACTACTGATACACTGACGGTCGTCTCACTAGCAGCACGCATTGCAGATCTTGTTGACTGAGAAGAGGAGACACTAAAAATGAAATAAAGATGTCCATGATGGATCAAACCGAGAAGTCAACACATAGTATGTGGCCCTCCCTGATGTCCAACTTTCTTGAGCTCTTGTCCTGACCCACTATCCTAGCTCCACAACTGTAGACCACAGATGGAGGCCTGGGTGGTACAGTATCAAATTTTCAGCCTGGTGGCTTCTATTTGACAAGTACTCAGAGAAGCTACAATGCAAACAAAAATCTATTGGAAGACACTTGGAGTTCTCAAGCCAGGGATAGATGAGGTATGATTTGTAACCAAAGGATCCAACCAAACTGGCTCATATGATGCCTGGTCCATGTGAACAAGACGCCCGGCAACCATCAGCAGCCTTCCTTCCTCGGGCCACACCCTGCTCACCCTGGCCTGAGTCCATCACTCAGAGGCATCACTGAGGCACACAGTTCCTTGTGTAGTGCTCTGGCTAGGCACCTCTTCTGTGTGTATCTGTGTGTGTGTGTGTGTGTGTGTGTGTGTGAGAGAGAGAGAGAGAGAGAGAGAGAGAGAGAGAGAGAGAGAGAGAGAAAGCAAATGGAAACTAGAGACTGACATCAGTTGCTCTCCATCTTAATATTATTATTTTTAGTTGTTTGGTCAATAAATGTATGGTATTTATGAGAAAAAAATCATAACAGAAAACTACTTTAGCTCTTAGCAGACTATTCCCAAGCTCTCAAGAAGTTTTTTTTTTGTTTTGACCTACCCAATTTTTTCCTGGGCAAGGGACATTTGGGGTCATTGCATATCTTTTTTCCCAGGGGGAAGGGGGTCACTACATTTTTTTTACAATAAGTTTTATTTTATTTTTTGTATCAGTGTTTTGCCTGCATGCATGTCTGTGCACTGCATGCATGACTGGTGCCCACAGAGGCCAGAAGAGGGTGCTAGATATTCTGGAACTGGAGTGAGCCACCATGTGAGTGCTGAGAATTAAACCGGGGTCTTTTGGAGGAGCAGCCAATGCTTTTAACTACTGACCCCATCTCTCTAGCCCACACTTCTTTTTAACTTCTCTCCTGGACCCTTTCTCATAGACTGGATTCTCTCACACAGCAGCATGAGCTTTCTTATTCACATCCTCCTTCATGTCTGGAGTTACATTGCTCTTTACATACTGAGAGAACTTATTTATTTTTTAAATTTCATTTATTTTGTGTGTATCTATGAGTGTAACACATATGAGTTCAGAGAACAACTTTCTAGAATTTTTGGGATCCAATATAGGTCATCAAGGTTGGTGGCAAGTGCCTCTACCCACTGAGCCATCTTGTTGGCCCAGGAACTGTTTCTTATATCTTCATCTTCTCCCCTCATATAACCTGCTACATCCTGTCCCGTGATGTGCTTCACTGGGCCATGACCAGGGAGTCACCTGGAGCTGCTAGGATGGATAAGTCTCTACCCACAGCTCCTTTCTGGCCCCCAGAACTTTATTACAGTTGCCATTCTGGCAAGAAGCATCCAACCGCCAGTGAAGGCCTTGGCTGACCACCAGAGCTTATCACAATGTGTTCCTCTCCAACTACCTCCACCTGTCTTTGTAGACCTTGGCCACGCCAAACCTGCTGAGAAGCCTGTGGGCCAGCAGAGACAAGTGCTGAGACTATAGTTTTCTTCACACAGTGTCTTGGTGGGTCATGAGCACAGGCTCATACCCCTTCCATCTTTTATAAGCAATCTGAAAGATGAAGTCCCCGTTAACAACATGAGCTTTCTCCTGTCTTTGGGTGTGTTCTACTTGTTTTTGCCCTGGCCCACCACACATTTCTGAGCATAGTAGCCAGTTTTACCCTCTCATTGTCTCCTAAATTCTCTTGTCTCCTAAAGTACCCTTATCTTTGATGACTTTAGCAAACCCATCCTGTAACACCATGGCTCTATATAGACCTGCAGCTCCTCTAGTGAAGGGGTAGGGACAGTCCACCCTAGGAGACAGCCTCACTGAACTTGGAGCTTACCAACTTGGCTAGGCTGGATGGCCAACAAGCTCCAGGGAGCCATTTGTCTCCACTCCCAGAGCACTGGGAAGCCTCACAAACATGGGCCACTGAGTGAGGCTTTTACATGGGTACTGAGGATCCAAACTTAGCTCCCTGTGCTTGTGGGCGAACTCTTTTCTAACTGAGCCATCTCCCCACATCCATGGCTGTCTCTATCTCTTCTTAACACAAGATGGCTCGTGGCGTGGGAGATCGAGAGAAGAGCAGAAGTAAAGTAAAGACAGGCTGCCTCCAAAGCAGCTCACTGGGCCAGAGCAAACTTACCTCACTTTAAGAATTATTGTCTGTCCAAAACCATAATTAGTCTTATTAAGTGCATCTCCAAACTGTGGAGGAGAATAGATGTAAAAACAAGGTGAAAAAATTTTAATTTTATTCTAGGCTTAAACATTGCTTTCCTTCTTTTCTTTTTCCTTTCCTCCCTTCCCTCTTTCTTTCTTTCCTCCCCTCCGTCTTTTCTTCCTTCCTCCTGCCTGCCCTCCCTCTCCCCTCCCTCCCTCCCTCGCTCCCTCGCTCCCTCGCTCCCTCCTTTCCTTCCTTAAACAGGGTTTCCTGTAGTCCAGGTTGGCCTCAAACCTACTATGTAGCCAAGGATGACCTTAAACTTCTGATCCTCCTCCTGCCTCCACCTCTGAAATACTGGAATTACAGGCTTGTACCACCACACCCAGATGGCACACTGCTGAAAATCAATCCTAGGAGCAAGCATTCTTCTGACTAAGCTACATACACATTAGGCAACTACTCTACTCGAGCCCTTTTCATTGTACATTTATATATTTATTATCTATTTATTTTGTGGTTCTAGGAATTGAACCCAGGGCCCTATACATGCTAGGCAAGTGTTATACCATTGAACCATCTGCCATAGGACCCACATTAAAGATAGATGCAGGAGCTGGAGAGATGGCTCAGTGGTTAAGAGCACTTGAACATTCTTCCAGAGGTCCTGAGTACAATTCCCAGCAATCACATGGTTATACCGTTATAATGAGATTTGGTGCCCTCTTCTGGTGTAAATGAAGACAAAGCACTCATATACATAAATACATGAATAAACTAATCTTAAATAAAAGGTGAGACTGGGCTGGAGAGATGGCTCAAAGGTTAAGCCTGCTCTTCCAAAGGTCCTGAGTTCAATTCCCAGCAACCACATGGTGGCTCACAACCATCTGAAATGAGGTCTGGTGCCCTCTTCTGGCCTGCAGTCATACACACAGACAGAATATTGTATACATAATAAATAAATATTAAAAAAAATAAAAATAAAAGGTGAGTGCATTGGCACACATCTGTGATCCCAGAATTCCTTTTTTTCCCTTTGGTTTTTGAGACAGGGTTACTTTGTGTAGCCCTGGCTGTCCTGTCTTGGAACTTGCTCTGTAGACCTGTGAGTTCAAGGCCAGCCTCTGCCTCCCTAGTGCTGGCCCTAAGGGCATGAGTCACACCATCAGTGAATCCTAGCATTCTTCTGGTGAGAGGGAGGCAGAGAAAGGTGGTCCTCCCAAAGCTGGAGGACCAGCTAGCCTGGAAAATAAAGTGTGGCAGAAACAAGAGACCATGCCTCAGCAAGGTGGAAGGAGAGTCAACTCCTGAATGCTGTCCCCTGATACACTGTGACGTACTCACACCCGTGCACGCACACACATAATAAATAAAATATTTTTAAAAGAGCAAACAGCGCAAAAAAACTCTCTAAAACCAGGTAAACAAAAACACACTTTGAAGCCATAAGTGTTAGGTTGGAAGCTTCACCCCAGCTGCTGACATCCCTTTGCCCAAAGAGTCTGGGATGTTTGGGTGGGGCTTCATTCCAGCCCCTGGCATCCATTTTGGAATGTTGGGTGTAAAGTTCCATTTCAAGCCCCCTCCCCTGGGAGTTGCCTCAGTCCAGATTCCACCTCCAAGAAAGAATGCCAAATGGTGACCCTTCCCCAGAGAGGGTCAAGACCACTTCCACAGACTGTTTAAACTGCCCCCCTCCAGACTATTTAAACTGCTTCCCTCCAGAGAATGAACATGGGGTCTTTCCGGTTGCCCCCCCCCCCCATCCATTAAGCCTGGGCTTTTTCTAATTCGGTTTGATTTGGTCTGATTTGAATTATTGCGTCAGCGGAGAGGCTTATCTTAGGAACTTTTCAATAAGAATGCCTCGCTACCTCCCTGGCTTCCCCAGGAACACCCAGCCCTGGCTGATCTCAGGTGTCTAAACACTGGCTAGATGCTGTGGAGAGTTTCCCAGACCCAACAACTGTGGCTCCAGAATGGCTTTTCCACTCCTTCCCTACCAACACTGCTCTCAAGGCTAGAAATGAACTGAAATGTTTTTATCATTTATTTTGAAAATGGAGGGGGGAAGTATCAGATATAGTTCCTCTATTACAGGAACTTATTAAAAATAAGCTATATTGGTATAGAAATTTATGCAAATCTGGACATAGAAAGAAGAAAAATGTCTTTACCACTGAGCTACATTCCCCAGTACAAAATAGTGAATTATTAATTAAGTTGTTTCACTATGGGGTAAAACCCTAGACTTTTTTCAGGCTAGAAAAACACTCTACCACTAAATCACAGCCCCAGCCTGCTCTGAAATAATTACTTGATTGGGGGAGGGGGAGGGAAATGGGAGGCGGCAGTGGGGAAGAGACAGAAATCTTTAATAAATAAATAAAAAGTTATTGAACGTAAAGTTCCAATACAAATAAAAACAATATAGAATTAAAAGAAAAAAAGACACCATTAGCGCTCTTGTCTATTCAGAACAAACCGATAACTTCTGTAACGGGCAGGTCTGGAGCAGCATCCCAAGGCTGCTTTCCAGAGGCATGGCTGGGCTATGCCAGGTGCTCCGTCTGCCCTGCACAGCCATTCAATCATTGGGAGGCCCCAAAATCCCAAGGGATCATCCTGCCCACCAGGAGGGGTACAGTTTGCTTTGTCAACAACAGACACAACTGTGTCATGTGACCACATGAAGACAGGCTCCACCCCCTGCAGGGCCAGGTGAGAAGGGAAAGTGGGAAAATACTTACAAATTTGACAACATCATTGTGAAAGTCTTGATAAGCCTTAGAGGTTTTATTTTCCCAGTCAAGTGATTCAGGCACTTTCATTGTAATCTCTCCAGGGAATGTCTTTCCTGAAAANCTAGGAATTGAACCCAGGGCCCTGTACATGCTAGGCAAGTGTTATACCACTAAGCCATCTGCCATAGGACCCACATTAAAGATGCAGGAGCTGGAGAGATGGCTCAATGGTTAAGAGTACTTGAACATTCTTCCAGAGGTCCTGAGTTCACTTCCCAGCAATTACATGGTTATACCCTTATAATGAGATTTGGTGCCCTCTTCTGGTGTGAATGAAGACAGAGCACTCATATACACAAATACATGAATAAATTAATCTTAAGAAATAAAAGATAAGTGCAGTGGCACACATCTGTAATCCCAGAATTCTTCCTTCCTTCCTTCCTTCCTTCCTTCCTTCCTTCCTTCCTTCCTTCCTTCCTTCCTTTCTTTCTTTCTTTCTTTCTTTCTTTCTTTCTTTCCCTGTTTTTTGAGACAGGGTTTCTTTGTGTTGAATAATCCTGGCTGTCCTGTCCTGGAACTTGCTCTGTAGACCAGGCTGGCCTTGAACTCACAGAGGTGGGCCAGCTTCCCCCTCTTTAGTGCTGGCCCTAGGGCATGAGCCCTATCACCAGTGTGCCTGAAACAAGAGGCCAAGCCTCAGCAAGGTGGAAGGAGAGCCAGCTCCTGAATATTGTCCTCTGATACAGACACTGTGACAGTACTTACAACTGTGCATGCACGCATACAAAAAACAAAATATTTTAAAAAGAGCAAGAGCATAAAAAAACCTCTCTAAAACCAGGTAAACAAAAACACTCTTTGAAACCATAAGTGTTTGGTTGGAAGCTTCACCCCAGCCATTGACACCCCTATACCCAAAGAGTCTGGGATGTTTGGGTGGGGCTTCACCCCAGCTCCTGGCATCCATTTTGGAATATTGGGTGGAAAGTTCCATTTCAAGCCCCCTCCCCTGGGAGTTGCCACAATCCAGAATCCACCTCCGAGAAAGCCTGCCAAGCAGTGTCCCCTCCCCAGAGAGGGTCAAGACCACATCTACAAACTATTTAAACTGCCCCTCAGAGAACAAACACATGGTCTTTCTGTCCCGTCCCCCCCCTCCCCCGCCGCCGCCCCGCATCTGGGCTTTTTCTAATTTGGTTTGATTTGGTCTGATTTGGATTATTGCGTTGGTGGGGTGGAGAGGCTTATCTTATGAATAAGAATGCATGGCTACCTCCCTGGCTCCCCTAGGAGCATCCAGCCCTGGCTGAGCTCAGGTGTCTAAACACTGACTGGCTGGATGCTGTGGAGAGTTTCCCAGGCCCAACAACTGTGGTTCCAGAATGGCTGTCCACTCCTTCCCTGCCAACACCACTCTCAAGAATAGAAATGTTTTTGTCATGATTTTTGAAAATGGAGGGAGAAAGTATCAGATATAGTTCCTTTGTTACAGGTAAAAATAAGCCATATTGGTATGGAAATTTATGCAAATCTGAACATAGAAAAAAAGAAAAATGTCTTTACCACTGAGTTACATTCCCCAGTACAAAATAAGAAATTATTAATAAGTTGTTATGCTATGGGATAAAACCCTAGGCCTTTCTCGTGCTAGAAATATACTCTACCACTAAGTCACAGCCCCAGCCTGCTCTGAAATAATCTAAGGCACCATTAGAGCTCTTGTCTATTCAGAACCAACCGATAACTTCTGTAACGGGCAGGTCTGGAGCAGCGTCCCGAGGCTGCTTTCCGGAGGCATGGCCGGGCTATGCCAGGTGCTCCGTCTGCCGTGCACAGCCATTCAACCATTGGGAGGCCCAAGAATCTGGAGGGATCGTCCTGCCCACCGGTAGGGTACAGTTTACTTTGTCAACAACAGACACAACTGTGCCATGTGACCACATGAAGACAGGCTCCACCCCCTGCAGGCCAGGTGAGAAGGGAAAGTGGGAAAATACTTACAAATTTGACAACCTTGCTGTACAAGGCTTGATAGGCCGGAGAGGTTTTGTTATCCAAGCCAGTTGTTTCAGGCACTCTCACGCCAATCTCTCCAGGGAATGTCTTTCCTGAAAACCAGGCAAACCCTTTCTGAGCTATTTAATGTTAATAGGGCCGCTTCAATTTTGTGTTTAAAACATGATACTTTTCTTCTTTTTTTCTCTTTCTTTTCCTTTTCATTTTCCCCCTTTAGACATGGTCTCACTGTGTAGGCCTGGCTACTGGCTGGTCTGGAACTCCATTTGTAGACCAGGCTGGCCTCAGACTCACAGAGCCCTGCCTGCTCTGCCTCCTGAGTGTTGGAATTGAAGACACATGTCACCATGTTTGACTTATTTTCTCATTCTTGAGCTTAGTGCTCACTATTTAAAATAGAAGAGCTTTTCGGGGATCATTTACATAGAGTAGATGCCCAGAAATTGGATTATTAATATTAAAAATACAGACTTTGGGGGCATATCTCTAACTGTTACGGCAACATAGTA